AGGATAAAAAGAGGAAGAGAAGATTGAGGAGGAGGGGGAGGTAGCAAAAGAAGAAATAGGAGGAGGAAGAAGAATATGCAATAGAAATTGTATGTAGCCTACAAAACCTTAAATTATTTGTTATTTAGGTTTTTAAAGCATAAGGTTGCTGACTCCTGCTTTATGTGACCACTTTTATCTTAGAGCAATTAAAATAAGGAAAAATGTCTTTTACTGGGTTGTTGGAAATGTCATGACTTATTTTTCCATTTTTCTATGCAATAATGTGTCTTTTCTGACAATTTTTCCCTCAGGTTAGTCATTTCCAGGAACCTTGTGTCTTTCTGTATATCCAGATTTCTCTCTGGTACCATAATCATTCTGCCTGAAAAATATTTAACATTTCCTGTAGGGCAGTGTTGCTGGTAATAAATTTTCTCTTTTTATTTGTCTGAAGAAGTCAATTTCTTCTTACCTTCTGAAAAACTTTTTTTTAGAGGGAGAGATTTTTTTATTATGGGTGTGTATGCTCGCCAGACAGATGGAGAGACAGAAAGCAAGAAATCACTCCCCTGGGGGGATGGCCACACTGCAGTCCATTCTTTTCCATTCTCCTCTTGGGATCTTGGGTATGCACGCACATGCACTGGCATGAGTTTTAAGTCACCAGGTCCAGGACTTGAACTGCAGTTCATTACATGGGAATCCAGTGATACAACCATTATGCCATCTGCGGGTCCCCTGAAAAACATTTTTATTAGAAATAAAATTCTGACTTGATAGTTTCTTTTTTCCTTTTCCTTCAGCATTTTTTTTTTGAGAGGTTTTTGCGATAGGGCGAGTGCGCTTGCCAGAGAGAGAGAGAGAGACAGAGAGACAGAAAGCGAGAAATCACCCCCCAGGGGGGATGGCCATGCCGCAATCCCTTCTCCATTCTCCTCTCGGGATCTTGGGCAATCACACACACGCGCCCTGCGTGAGTTTTAAGCCACCGAGTCTGGGACGCGAACCGCGGTCAACTAAATGGGAGTCCAGCGACAGGTATTACGCTAACTGCTGGTCCCTCTTTCACCATTTAAAGGATGCCACTGCATGGTTTACTGATTTGTACGTTTGGTAAGAATACTGCAATTCTTATCTTTGTTTCTCTGTATATAACATGTATTTTTCTTTGGCTGTGTTCAAGCTTTTCTCTTTGTTTTAGTTTTCAGCAGTTTGAATGTAACACTTGTGCGTGTATGTTGTATTTATCCTATTTGACATTCTGAGAGCTTCTTGGATTTGTGGTTTGATGTCTGTCATCTTTTTGTAAAATTCTTGGCCACTTTCTCTTTGCGTATTTCTTCTGTTCTATTTTCTCTTCTCTTGAGACTATAATTACACAGGTTAAAATGTTTGCTATTGTCCCATAGTTACTGATTACTCTATTGATGTTGCAATCCCTTCTCTTCCATTCTCTTCTTCGGTTTTTGGGCATGCATACACACGTGCCAGCATGATTTTCAAGCTGCTAGATCTGGGACTAGAACCACAGTTAGTTAGCCATGTGGGAATCCAGCATCCTAACCACCATGCCACCTGCTGGCCCTGACTGGTGTCTGTCTGTCTTCCTTTCTTTCTTTCCTTCCTTCCTTCCTTTCTTCTTTCCTTCTTTCCTTTCTTTTTATAACTATGCCTTCAGGAGCATGTGTATTGTGTTTGAGATGATACATCAGGTGCTCTCTGAGCTTTTTGGGGAATCTCCCAGTCTCCAAAGGATAAAAGCAGAGAGTAGAATCAGTATAGCATATACACAGAAGTTCGTATTGTAAAGACTATAAAGATTTGTAGTACAGTGAGAAAAGGGCTTCTGCTCCTTCACACTGCACACAAATTATGTAAATTATGTTGCGTATTGCTTGGTCCACTGTCTGGCTATCCTGTCGTGTTCTGCTCTGTTAGTCAAATACTGAGTGGTTGTGCTTCCAACCAGAGGATCTGCAGGGTTGCAGTCTTCCTACACAGAACCTGGTGGACCAAGTATAGTCGATCTCCATTCTATATATTATCTCCTTTAGGCCCAGCACTGCAGTTCGGAGGAGGATAAAGGATTACTTCAGCTAGCTCCTTCTGAATTCTTTTAGCACTAGTGGATAACTTAGCAGTGGTTTTGCTAGGGCGTTTGGTATTTTTCTTCTGCTGGGTCTTTCTTCTTGTTTCTCAGGCTCTGGAGTGGCTGGGTCTTGCTGGTCTGCAACTGAACTGCCACTGCTGGTGCTGGGGCTCTCATCATCAGACCTTTGCCTATCACTGGTCATCTTGGCCAAGTTATCTCTTGGAGAACTTGACCACCCGCCTGGCCTGCTGACGCGCCACTACGGTGTGACTGACTGGTGTGTTTCTTAAGCCGCTGGGTCTGTAATTCAAATTGTGGCTGTCCATGTGAGATCCAGCTCCTTTAATCACTAGGCCATGGAGTTGGTCCAAACTCTTTTCAAGTTTATTTCCCACACATACACACATACACCCTTGACAAAATCCTTCCCCATCTTCCTAGTCAGCCAGGATCACAGACACCTGCAGGTGTGTCTGATGTGTTCAGGTTAGCCTGGGATCTGGAAAACTGTCTGTCAATATCTACTAAATCAGAATATATGTATACTCTATGACTTAGAAATTCCACTTTTCGATGTGTTTCCAACAGAAATGCATAGAAAGGTGGACTAAAGCAATGCAGGAGCTCTATAATGCAAACCACGGGATCTTATCAATGGAGTGGATGTAAAATTATGGCATGTTTATACATACGCATGCACACATGTTTATCTTGGATGCCTATCTTCCCCACTCCTGCTGTCCATCAGCCAGTCCTCTTGGCTACACTTCCAAAATGTAATCTGAATGTGTTCAATTCCCTCCATTTCCACTGACATTATTCTCCTCATGTCTACCACCATTTTTCACCTGGTTTACTTTTAACTAGCCTGCCTGCTTTCATCCATGCTTCCTGTGTTTCACTGCCTGCAAAGCAGTCGGCATGGTCTTACTAAAACATAAATTGGGCTGCCCCACCCTCCTGTTTAATGGGTTCTTAGGGTAACTAGAATTAATCCAACTCCTCACGATGGTTTGGAAGGCTGCTGTGCCGGTTCTGGTATAGGTTAAGATGTTTAACAAGAAAAATCTTAAGATATAGTGAGTGTTTTAGACAAATCGTGAGTTTCTTCCTCTCTCACACATAGTCCAGAAGGACAAATAGCTAGAATTTTTAAAGATGAACATGTCAAATATTGACAAAATACTTGATATTTCGTTACTATCAAACCCAGCTTTTCTGGATTTGACATGGGTTCCGCTCTGACTCCCAAGTGCTTGTGAAGCTGTCCTCGTCATGATTGTATCTGTATCCCAGCTAGCCAGGGGGAAGAAAGTGAGCGGCCGTGTTCCTTTTCTCTTAAGAGCACAGCCCAGAACTTTCCCTCGCCACTCCTGCTTACATCCTCACTGGCCACAACCTGAAGGAAGGCTGGAAAATGTGTTCAGTTAAGTCGACATGTGCCCATCCAAAGCTCTATTACAGGGAAGCAGGGAGAATGAATGTTGAGGACAGCTCGAGCCTACATCATAAGATCCCTCTCGAGCTCTCCAGCTCATCCCCTCCCTCTCCCTTGCTCATGGCCTGGTCTTCTCACTCCTTCCCTCCATAGTCCTCAGGGCCTTTGTCCCTGTGCTGTCCTGTATTTGGAATGCTGGTCCCTAGATCTTTACATATTGGTTCATTCTCAGTATTTGGATTTCGGCTAAAGCTTCATACCTCATTTGAGAGACAGTCTCTGACCCTTCCTTCACAGGCAAAGTAGCACCCTTCCTCTCATTCTCTCTCTCTCTCTTTCTCTCTCTCTCTCTCACACACACACACACACACACACACGCACACATTTTATTTCCAGCACTTTCACTAGCTTAAGTTCTCATGTACTTACCTTCTTATTACTGTGTCTCCTGGATAAGCACCATGAGAACAGAACTGTCACCTGACTCATTTTCTGCTGGACTCCAGACACTTTGTATAAAGAAGTATTCAGCAAATACTTATTGAACGGATGCATTAAGTTAGCCAAAGTCTTCATTTTGTCACTGGGAAAGCTGAGGCCCAGAGAAAGTAAATGCCTTGGCTGAGCTTCTTCAACTAGTCAATAGATTTCCAGGTCAGTGCTTCTTTACGACACCCTATTCCTCCAGCCTCCTCTCTGAAATCTTCTAGTATCTTGCCCCTAAGCAATCATTCCTCTGAATACCTATAGCACTAGACTTTTTTTTTTTAAAGAATTACTTTATTTAACTTCATTTATTTATCTATTTATTTATTTTCATTTGATCAGAGAAGGACAGAGTGAGTGAGTAAGTGAGATTGAAAGAGAGAGAGGAAAGCAGGCTGCCAGGTCCAGGACTTAAACTGCAGTTAGCCATGTGGGCGTCCAGTGTCCTTAACCACCATGCCACCTGCTGGCCCCAGCACTAGACTGTAACATCCATTTTGTTTTTTTCATTCTAAGCTATTTTGTACTAATATTTATCTTTATTATATCTGTCTCATCTTCCCAACCAAGCTGGAAGCCTCTTCTCAAATATCAACTTTATTTTTAAAAAATTGTTTTATTTTATTCATTATTTTTAGTTTTAAGTTTGCTACAGAGCACATGTGCTCAAATAGAGAAAGAAAGAGAGAGAGAAAGTAAGAAAGTAAGCCACCAGGTCTGGGACTCAAACCGTGGTCAGCCAATTGGGAGTCCAGTGCCTTAACCACCATGCCATCTGCTGGCCCTCAAACATCAATCATCCAACACAATCAGAATACAGGCCTTTTATACATTTCACAAAGATGGCTTAAGTTTCTTTACTCAAGGAAGTGAAACTTGGGTGACTCTAACTTTCATCTTGTCCTATGACTAAGGATAAAAGTTGGCTACTAGAAGGCTAGATTTGGGGGGAGGGGATTTTTGTGTATCCCCCATCTAAGCATAAAAGCAAAAGTGCCTTACCTCCAGTTGGGACCTTATGTGCTTCATTCAAATGATGCAGAGGAGCTGCTCTGGGTGTAATGGGTGGTTTCTGAAAGGAAATCTTTGCAGTTGGTGGGATCAATCCTCGTTCTATCATACTTAAAATCCCTAAAAAGAAAAGGTATCAGAATATAAGATTAAGCGGGACCAGCAGTTAGCATAATGGCTATGTCACTGGACTCCCACGTAGTTGACCACTGTTTGAGTCCCAGACCTGGTGGCTTAAACTCACACCGGGTGCGTGTGCGTGCGTGCCCAAGATCCCAAGAGGAGCATGGAGGAGAAGGGATTGCAGCGTGGCCATACCCCCTGGGGGGTGATTTCTTGCTTTCTGTTTCTCTGTCTCTCTCTGTCTGTCTGGCGAGCGCACGTGCCCTATTGCAAAAACCTCTCAAAAAACAAAACAAAACAAAAGAATATAAGATTAAGCAATTCCACAAAGTCTGAGCTCTACAACTTTCCCCAAGAATAACTTGCTTTATTCATCATTTTATGTGTGAGAGTTTGAGTGCCTTAATTTTTTGCATGAAAAACAAAAATAGTTATAGTACATGTTCATTTAAGCTTAGTATTCTAACCCAATATTACATTGCTAATGAGGGTGTTAGTTTACTACTCGGGATTCAGAAGAATCATACTGATGGGCTGGAGAGCCAAAGAACAGATCACTTGTAAACATACTTCACTTGTAAAACGATGATTCCAAAGAGAAATCTTCAGTTTACCTACCAAAGAATCATTTGTGGAAAGAATTTCTTATCAAAGGTGTAGATTCAGGGCCAGCAGGTGGTGTAGTGTTAAGGCACTGGACTCCCATTTGGTTAACTGGACTCCCACTTGGTCAACCAGTTTGAGTCCAGGACCTGGCAACTTGAAACCCATGCCAGGTGGGTGTGCGTGCATACCCAAGTCCTGAGAAGAGAATGGAGAAGAGGCAGTGGTGTGGTGATCATCCTTCCCCCGGGGGTGGGAGGTGTGATTTCTTGCTTTCTGTTTCTCTGTCTCTCTTTGCCTCTCTGGTGAGTGCACATGTCCTAAGGGGGAAAAAAATCTCTCAAAAGAGAAAAGTGTAGGTTCTAGGACCTATCTCAGATCTATCTAAATTTCTGATGTTAGGCCCTAGAACCTGCATTATTGAAGCCTCCAGGAGATATTTCTATGCACTGAAGTTTAAGAACCACTAGGATTAGGGCCCAGTAACATATATATATTAAATAAAAACTTGGGTCAATCTTTTATACTCTATAAACTTAAGAACTACAACCCTTTAAGCCCTTTCTGAAATTAGTACTTCAGGTTTACACTTTTGTAATACCAGACTGAAACTATTTTAAAATAGAAGGACCAATTCTCAAAAATATTTTCCACCATAAATATCAAATGCTGTTTCTAAGGACTCTTCCTGTCTTGCAGATGTGAAAAACAGAACTCCTTGTAACTCAGTATATTTTCATTTCAAGAATCAGTTTTATTCTCTGAGAATTCCAAAGATTATGATTTTTAACCCTTGTTTTAGTACTAGTTGGAGGAATTAACTTATTTTATATAAACATATAGGTGTGTGCACTTATCACTGTCATTGAAAAGAAAAGTTGACTCTAGAATAAACAAAAGACATAAGTAGGTATCTTTTCATCAAAATGTTGGAACTTCTGAAGGTTATCTGACCCTACAGGGCTCTGCACCATTGTTTTTGGTTGTCTGTTTTACAGTTTTATAACGGTTAAGTTTAATTTATGGAACTCTGATAAAAATGTAAATCATCTTGCTTATATAATTATAAGTAAATTCTGTCATGTGGAAGGACAAATTTTTCCCTTGATAAGCAAGTTTTGTATCTGGTTAAAAATTCATTTCAATATTATTGATTTATAAGAGTTTCTGTTGTTTGAATTCTCCTTTGAATTGACTGTAATATCGTGCTGGTTCCCTCATTTAATAAATGAACTAAATAACATCTTTTTAAAAAATCATCCCTTAACAGTTTGGGAGGTCCCACTGAGATGAGGTGAGCAGAACAGTTACCTGAAACCATCGAAAATGGTGCACAGCCAAGCTCAGACATGTTTTTTCCTTGGCTCTCACAGATAAATTTAAAGTAGCAAGAAATTTTGTTGATTTTTTAAAAAAATTTTACTTTCTATTAATTTTCTTTTCAGTTTATTTGTTATTCTCTATCAGTAGCTGCAGTGATTGGTAATTTGGTAATCTCTGTAAATGGATAAATATAGAGATCTATGTCTTGTTGGGTAAGAAACAAGAGACTAAAGTTTGTGAGTCTCTTTTAGTTGTATATTCTGAGCTCAAATCAGGAAATTAGGAAATTAGGAATTTCTTTCCCACAAGAAAGAACAACAACTCTTTGATCTCTGGACTGGTAAGTTTTTATATTTCTGTGGTTGAAATTGTAGAATTGAGGGTATAAATTTTCTTGGTATCTGTGTGACTATGTATCTGTAATTCAGAAAGTCCTTTATCTGTCATCGTGAGTGTGGAATGTTTCCCTGTCTCAAGATGGCATTTATAAATGAGATCACAAAGACTATTTTAAGATGTCTGCTCTGATTGATTTATATATACATAAATAAACATTTATGTAAAACAAATATCCCTGGAACTCCCAGAAAATGAGGAAATCAAATTTCTAATAATTTGAATGTGCTCTCCCATTTCCAAATTCATAAACTCTCATTTGAGTCTCTTTACTTTTCGTGGCAATACAGTAATTTGCAAAGTTTCTATATTAATTTGCTTTCCTTATACTAAGATATAATTAGAAAAATCCCTTATGCAAACAAGGGCCCACTTGGGATTTATTTTTTAAAATGAGAGTTAATCAAGTTTGAAAAGTCACTCACTTTTAAAAGACTAAGGTGACTTTACAGAGTCAATGCTCATAAACTCCTCCCAGAAAAACCAGCTCGGCACTTGGGTTACAGATTTCCATCATTACAGGCCACATTCTGAAGACCCAAGCCCTTATTCTGGACCCCTAGAAGAGAAGAATTTACCTAAGTGCATAGGTCCTACAGTTGAAATCTGGTAAACAGATCTGGCTTGATTTCCTAGCCTTGAAATACAAATAAGAGAGGATTTTATTATGTTTTTAATTTTTGTACAGGTTTTTGCCTTAGGGCATGTGCCCTTGCCAGAGAGAGAGAGGAACAGAGACAATGAGAGGAAAAGTGAGAAATCACCTCCCAGGGAGAATGGCCATGCCACCACCCTTCTTCTCTACTCTCCTACCAGCATCTTGGGCACACATGCACATACACCCAGCATAAATTTCAAGCCACAGAGTCTAGAGCTCCAACCACAGTTGGCCATGTGGGGATCCAGCGATGTAACCACTATGCCATCTACTGGCCCTGAGAGTATTTTATAAGTTAAGTCTGAGGAGTTGGAAGGTGGCTGGACTCCCAAATGGCCAACCATTGTTCAAGCCCAGGATCTGGTTGCTTGAAAATCACACGGGACATGTGCACATACATGCCCAAAATTCCAAGAGGAGAATGGAGGAGAAGGGATTGTGGCATGGCCATCTCCACTAGCGGTGATTTCTTACTTTCTCTCACTCTCTCCAGCGACCACATGTTCCCTATGGCAAAAAAAAAAAAAAAAAAAATTAGTCTGAAAGACCAGGAGGTAGCATAATGGTTAAGGTCCTTGGACTCTCACATGGCCCATCACAGTACAAGGCCATGTGGGAGTACGCTATGTGGGCACATGTGCCCAGGGTGAGTTTAAGCCACCAGGTCCGGGACTCGAAGCACAGTCAATGACATGGGAGTCTAGTGGCATAACCATCTGCTGGTGGTCCTGTTTGGGAAATTTTTAAAAAAGTACTGATTAGGGGGCCAGCAGGTGGTATAGTGGTTAAGATGCTGCTGGCCAGCAGGTGGTATAGTGGTTAAGACGCTGCTCTCTCCCACATGGCTGATCACTGTTTGAGTCCTGGACCTGGCAGCTTGAAAATCGCTTTCCCTCTCTCTTAAAAATTTGAGTCCTGGACCTGGCAGATTGAAAATCGCTCTGCCTCTCTCTTAAAGAAAGTATTTTTAGTCTGAGATTCCTTTTGAAAACTTCTAGCAAAGTGGGGAACCAGCAGTTAGCGTAATGGCTATGTCGCTGGACTCCCACGTAGTCGACTGCAGTTTGCGTCCCGGACCCAGTGGCTTAAAACTCACGTCGGGCACGTGTGCGTGCGTGCCCAAGATCCTGGGAGGAGAATGGAGGAGAAGGAATTGCGGCATGGCCATCCCCCTGGGGGGTGATTTCTCGCTTTCTGTCTCTATGTCTCTGTCTGTCTGGCGAGCGCACGCACCCTATAGCAAAAAACCTCTCCAATAAATAAATAAATAAACTTCTAGCAAAGTAAACTTATGGTGGCATATATGGTGAATTAGCAATTTTGCTGCACCTATATAAACAATCAGACCAAGCTTAATGAAACCAGCCTTTTATGATTTTTTTCTTTATTTTGATATTACTTCAATCAAAACAGGAGATCATTTTAAGGAACAACATTTAAGTTACGGAATTAGCAAAAATGGTTCCTGAATACCCTTTCAGTGGAATGCTGGAGTCTCCAGGGATTGTCTGAGCCCAGTGTTAGAGTGGGCTACTTTACAACACTATAGGGAGTAAGGTTAACTTGTAAAAAATACAAAAACAGCAACAACAAAAACTCATTATAAGGCAAGTAATTTCTACCTATAGACATGAAAAATAAATTGTCTGATGAAAGGGACTTCTTCCTTTCCACAGAAAAGCCAATTTTGCATTCATCTGCAAATTAATTTTATTATTTCAGATTTAAAAATGTTCCTTGGATTCTCTTTTGAACTGATTACAACATCTTACAAATGTTCTCTTAATTGATGAGTTAAATAAAATCTTCAACATGTGTCATTTTATTTCTCTATGAGTGATGATTTTACCTGGTTTTGAAAATTATTCTGTAATGCTATTGTCTTGCAAAATCCTAATAACGCTCTAACTTTCCTGTGGAATAGATTAGAAGTTGGGTATTCATTTATTCTATCATTCATTTAACCAATGTTTGTCAAATGCCTATTAAGTGGTGAGCCAGAGAAATCTCATGGAGTCTCTAGTGGTGAAGACATTAAAGTCACACAGAATAGTATGTATACATTGTGATCATCTATGAAGGACAGAGATAGGTGCTTGAGAAGTGACTTTTACAGACAGAGGTGAAGGCATCGGTGAATGTTCGAACTAAAAATATGTTTGGCCTGATGAGAAGCAGAGGGAAGGCCCATGTGGCTGGAGCACAGAGCAGAGAGAGAATGCAGATGGCGGGAACGGCCCACCTTCAAAGCAAAGGCTGAGCCAGAGCAACTCACCTGAGGTCACACAGAGAGAAACTGAAACCGGCCTGTGCTGTGAAACTTGTATTCTTAGCCATTTTGGGGGAAGGAGTGGCTTGCTTTCTTGGATGAGCCAGATTATTCGAGAAAAAGTAGGGAAGTTTACTATGTGCTTCCTGAAACAATGATCTCTTATGGTCGTTGTTTATCTTTCACCTCATGCCAGACTTGCATGAGGTGTCAATGACCCTTAGGGCATTGTAAATACCTAAAAATATCTAGACGTCTACATTTCTGGGGTTAGCACTTTCCTGACGTTCATGTTACTTGGCGTGGCACCAGGCACGTGACAAGTACTCAATAAATACATGTGGATTAATTGCAGATAACTTAGTGGTGAAAAGGTAACTTTTTCTGGACCAAGTTACCATGATTTCAGATTCCCTTTTGTTTTGTAGTGATTTTGATTGTCTATTGCTAACGTAAGGACTGACTGGCTGACTGGTCCCTTCGTTCATTCACTATTTCATTCATCCTAATTTGATCAGGATGAATGTAAGATGGCACCAGAGCAAGAGAAAGAAACTCTGCTCATCTTTTTCAGTATTCCCAGGGAGTAAGTATTACACAAGCCAACTAGAAGGCCTATGTCACAAGGATTTCTTTTTTAAATTATTTTTTTTTAATTGCTAGAAGCTATGTATGCTCATCAGAGAGATGAAGAGGTGCAGACAGAGAGGGAGAGAGAGCAACCTCAACAGGGCATGGTCATGCCACAACCTCTTCTCCTCCATTCCTCAAGCCTGTCTGAATTTGGAGTACTTGTTCACATACTCCCTGCATGTTTTTCAAGCTACTGGGGCCAGGGTTCACACCATGGTTGGCTGTGTGGGATCCAGCTCCCTTAATTGCTAGGCCGTGGAGCCGTGGAGAATTGGTGGCTAAGACAGAGTTCAAACTCAAGCTCCCAGTCCTATCCCAGGGTTCTTCCTCTCGTCTTTCTAAACACATAAAAGAGTTATGGAATCACTAACCTTTGCTGGCATCCGCCTGTTTGATTGGCAAGGGAGTGAGATAAGGGTCTGTGCGATGCGAAGGCGGCAGAGCCGTGAGGCTGGAGATGGTGGGTCCTTTGATCAGCTTCTGAGCCTTCACCTAGATGGTCAAACATGTGTTTTCAGCAGATATTTTTGCCTTCACAGTGAGCACAGTTTTCTTCTTGTAAACAATAAATAAGATTATGAATAGTTTCATTAACTTTTAATAAGGTAGCAATATCAGTCCCAATTTTATTGCTCATGAGTATTATTCCACTGTCTACTACTGTCAGGAGTTTGTGTAATTTAAAATAGTTAATTAAATCCAATTAACGTGTTGTGATTTCCACTATGCAAAGTCAGTATAGTAGTTAATAAAGGAAGTATTAAGATTTTGTTCAATTTTAATGACTACAATATAAAAATGCTAAATCTTGACGGAGGAGGTTTTGAATACAGCAAACTTTTATATGGGCAAATTTCCCAAGAAATAATATTAGAGTTTTTAGGTTTAAAAAAAAAAGTCTGGGAGAATTTAAAGAGAAACCTATCAGTCAAGATTAATAGGTTAAAGATAGCTCTGAGTAGACTCTTCTGCAGAGCCCAGAAATGGTTAGACAAGATGTCTAAATCAGCTTTAGTAGATAATTACTTTTTCTAAAGTCATAAAATGCTTTTATTATAGTTATGAAATATGAATTGTTTCTATTAAATGGTTTCTAGGTTTTAAAGATTATATGTATTATATATAAATCACATTTAATTGTATAGCCCAACTACAATATTTTTACCTTTATTATAGGAGATTATGAATTACCTGGGCCCTCTCAGCAGGGAAGATACAACTGTTTGGTTTTTATAGACTGATTTAAATTTTCAAGTCATTTTCCAAACATTAATTAATTTGCATAAGTTCCAAGGGAACTAGGTAATGATGTGCTATTTAACTAATAAAGAACTCAAGACTGAAAGGTTAGTAGATTCATTTCAGGTCACACAGCATATGCTCAGATTATTCAAATTTAAGATTAATCTGATTTTTCATTAGTGAAGTTGCCATTGGACTCAGTTGTACAACATGTAGCTGCTCATTAAGATCATGGTGACCTTAACGAATCAGTAAAGGGACGTGCCATCAAGGTGGAGGTACAAGTGCTGTAGAGGAAGTTGCTTTACGGAATAAGTGTCTATTGGTTGAGAAACGCCCATATAGACAGAGTGTGAGGCCCCCATGGCTAGGGTGTGGTGACTGTAAAGCAGCCCTACTCCATTATAATGCTCAGTCAATAAAAATAATACTTTCTAAAGCTTGTTTCTTTCTGGGACCAGCAGATGGCATAATGGCTACATTGCTGGATTCCCATGTAGTTTACTGCAGTTCAAGTCCTGGACCCAGAGGTTTAAAACTCATGCCAGGTGTGTGTGCATGTGTACCTAAATTCCCAAAAGGAGAATGAAGAAGAACGGATTGTGGCATGGCCATCCCCCTGGGGGATAATTTCTCACATTCTGTTTCTCTCTGTCTCTCCTGCAAGTAAATGCACCCTATAGCAAAAATCTCTATAAAAAAAAAAAAGAATGTTGCTTTCTTTCATGAAAGAAAGAGATAGACAAACAAGCACCCTTGACAGAGTCTCACACCACAGTCCTCCCCTCAGCCTTCTCAGTCGACCAGGATAATGGGAATGTGCACCCACATCAGTGTGTACAAGTAGTCTAGAGCCAAACCCTTGATGATCCATATGACTTTCACTCCCTGATATTCTCTACTTCTCCAGCATTCAGGGTAGGAAGTTACCACTGGGCCACTATGGCTGGGCATAAACAGTATTTTTTATTGGAAAGAATGAACCGTAAATGCACTCTGTTTCAGAAGAAGTCATGTCAGAAAAAGGCATGTGCCACCATCCTTGCCTTCATCAGAGTGAGGAACTGAAAAGCAGACGGTGCTATTATACCAGATCTTGTGAGTTGCCCTGCTGTGTCCCCTCATCCCCAGCTCCTCTCCCCACCTCACCTCCAGACATGAGCAGCCTTCAGGATCTCCTAACCAGAAAGGCTGAGATAATCACCCAATGGATTGTACCCAAGATGGCATATACGTGGCCAAGGTTAGTCAGTATCAGAAATGGCAGGGTCTGTACTTGTCTGATGAATATCAGGGTTAGCCGGGCAAAGGTAAATCAGAGGGAGAGAGAAAGATTCAACTTAAATAAAATTGTCAAGTACTGTGAGGATGTAAAATACATGTTTGGCAGTTTTAGGGCACAGAGCATAATTTATCTGGAGTTTCTGAAAGGCTTTGACAAAGAACTCCTGACAACACGCTCTTGAAAGCTAAAGTAGCAGGATTCATCAGAAAACACAGCGTAAAGGATGACTCGAAGGACAGGACCAGAGGCAAGTGACGTTCGGATTCTGTCAGGCAACCACCACGTCCACAATGCTGCTTTAATTCTTTAACTTGCATCACTCCAAACTATGCAAATGCCAGACCCATGGACTATGCTGGAAAGGCAGGGAGGAGGGCGGGGGGAGGAGGGAGATAGAGGGGAGGGAGGAAGAGCGAGAACAAGAGCAAGAGTGAGCCGGGACATGTAGTGAAGGGTTACAGGTCCTACAGATAAATCCCTCAGCCCGTGTCCCTGGACAGGAAACATCTGCCCATTCTGCTCTCCGGTTCCCACGGTATCCCTGTACCCCACTTCTGCATATGCTCCGTTGCAGGGAGAAGAAATGTAACCACCTTCAGCATTTACTGAGCACTTACTACACAGCACTAACTTTAATACAATGAGCATTAAATTTCACGAGCAGGGGAAAAGCGGAGGGCTATGGGAGTGCAGAAGAGGGAGTAATTAACTCTGCCTGCTGGCATTGCAGAAGGCTTTGCAGTGACTCTCCACCATGGCTGTATATTAGAGTCACTCAGGGAGCTTTTGAAAAATACTGCTGCCTGGGCCCCTAGCCTAGCCAATTAAACCAGAACAGCTGGGCTGGGGACTGGGCTTCGGTATTTTTGTCAGGTTCTCCAGGTGATTCTGATGTGCAGCCAAGGTTGAGACGTACTGCAGTAAGTGACAGTTAAATTGCACCTTTGAAAATCGTATCAGGTGGAGAAAAGGATGTAATTACAGACAGAAAAAAATGGTGTTGACAAAGCAAAACAATACACTAATGCAAGAAGGTTTCCCCCAGGTGAGTGGCTCTTTGCAGCTGGAGTAGCCTGTGTGCACCAGGAGAAAGGGGAGGGGTGACGGGACACTGGAAAGGGAGGTAGAGATGAACAGATTAAGTGAACCAGTTTTCCGAGTGTGCTGAGCATCTAACAATCTCGAATATTACCTGCTTTTGTCTTCTCCTTTAGGCCCTGCTTTATAAATTGTATAATATGGGGACCAGCAGTTGGAGTAATGGCTATGTCGCTGAACTCCCATGTAGTCCACTGTGGTTCAAGTCTCGGACCTGGTGGCTTAAACTCACACTGGGCATGTGTGC